CAATTGAGCTCTTTTTAGACAGCATGTTCGCAGTAAAACAGCAGCATTGAAATACTATTTTACCCAGACTGCTGGACAATAAGCACTAAGGTGCTTTTCCTTTATGTTAGGCCCAGTGTTTCTAAAAACCAATTTTAATTTTATATGAGGGGCAAGAATTCTTGTGGGTGATACCTTTTATTAAACCATCTGCACTATTGGGATAAACTTACACATACATACAGTTTTTATGCATCACAAAACCCTTCCTCAGGCCTCTAGAAAAGCAGCAGACAGCAGAACTCAGTAACAGATGGAAAAAGCTTGTATAAAACTCTACAGGCAAACAAAAAAGGAAGTGAGACATTATCAGGTAGCCAACAGGCACAAGAGATGCAGTAAAAATCTGACCACAGAAGAACGGGATCATATAGGAGGGTTGTTATCACCGTGAATTATAGAGATTAGCAAGTATCAGGTAGTTTACAGTAGACTGTAAAGTTATTGGCTATGTTAAGTTCCTGGTTCTTAGTGTCCAACAGACTAATACAAATTTGTTCCCAGGCTCATCTTGTGAAGGTTTTCTGTATAGTTCTGTGAGGTCAGAAAGGGAGTGATTTTTTTTCTGTGAAAAATGTCCTTCCATCTGTGTTCTAGTGTCTCTGTCCTTTATCTTTTCTCAGTGATCATTCATTCTGGTGTGTAGGTTGTGTCTGGTTGTACCTATATAGTTGCCATGAGGTGCTCTGGATGAGGTGTACCACATTCTGGGATCTATCTATATCTATAGATAGATAGATATCTATATAGATTTCTATAGCTATATCTATATATATAGATACAGAGATGGATAGATATGTATGTATGTATGTCTATATATTTACAGATGTCTCTATGTTTCTACAGATATATATTTACAAATATCTCTATGTTTCTATAGATATATCTCTATCTCTATCTATATATATACATCTCTATATATTAGGGCTGTGTGAAATTTTTCCAGGTGTTTCATTTTGAAGCTGTTTCGACGTGTTTCGAGCTCGAAACAGCTAAATCAAAACAAAACAAGAGGCTTTGAAATAGCTTCAAAATGAAACAAGGGCACTCAAAATGTTTCAAAGGTTTCTAAACATTTTGAGTTTCGAAGCTGGGTTTACTTGGCTTCAGTGCTGGTGCCATCCCAGGTGGCTGCAGTAACGGCAGCAGCAACCTCCTCTCATCCGGTGCACAGATCCGGGGGCCCACACTCCCAGGAGGGCTGTGGGGCTGTGCCAGACTCCTCCCGGGGGTGCAGGCCCCCAGATCTGTGCGCCGGATGAGAGGAGGCTGCCACCTGGGACTGGTGCTGAGCACAGGCCATGCCCAGTGCCCGGGGAAGATTGATGCTGCCACCGGTCCCAGGTGGCAGAGGCAGCCTCCTCTCAACTGGCGCACAGATCCAGGGGCTTTCACCCCCGGGAGGGCTGCTGGGCTGTGCCAGACTCCTCTCAGGGGTGCGAGCCCCTGGGATCTCCATATTGATATATTGTGGAGTCATCTTTGTGCACATAACTGTGCTCATGGTTTGGAGAAAGTGCTGGTAGTTGAGACTGAAATTGTTGTGGGTGAGGATGAAGTGGATGATTTGTGCAACACGCTGTGGTTGCGAATTTGAGTGTAGTACGTTTTCCTATAGGTATTTCAGGCAGGCAGTGTGGGATATTACTGTTCAAGCTGGTGTCATCCATGGGTGCAAGGACGGGGATTAGTGAAAGTAATTTTTTTCCTGAAGCTGGTAAGGAAAGGATATGATAATACTTTCAGTTCACAAGTAAATACTGGTGTGGGGTCCTCCCCAAGTTCTTTATAGTGGTTGGTATCAGACAGCTTTCTTTTAGCCTCATTGATGTAGTCTTTATGGTTGAGGATGACAGTAGCTCCACCTTTGGCCACTGGTTTGATTACTGATTTACTATTTTGTTGTTGTACTTTAAGGACTGTATGACTGTGGTCCTGGCTTTTTTGTTGAGAATTTCACTGTTAGCTTTCTTCCAGGCACGCTCAATGTAATAGTCCAATCTGTGGTTCTGTCCACTGAGACGTCAGACAGTGTTTTGTAGTTGTTCAGTGCTCTAGTATTAAACAGTAGAAATACTGTAAGTGAAAGTCATAGGCAAGCCTTAACACACGGTGGAAGTGTCAAAGTGAACTTGTAACATGAAACCTTTGGCAATGGCAGAATGAGTGTTATGAAGTAGCTACTTCAGTAACCAAGTGCATGCATATACCTGACCTGTGTGTGCACACTAGGCACTTGCAGGCAGGCCCTCATATACAAGTGTGCTTGCCTAACCTTGTAAATTTAGCTTTATTTTCTTACTAAGTGGTAGAAGGGCATGAAGCTTTGCCAGCAGAGAAAGCAGTGTGGTGAAACTGTGGTTGAGCACGCAATTTAAATTAACTCTTTACTTTCCTGTTAATAGTTAAATGTGTGAATAGCACTCCTGCATTCCTTGCCGAAAGACTGCACCAATCTTTGAAGGTAGGTTCTCAGCTTCCATACAAATCCTTGGGTTATAGCATGCCTGTAAGAGGGTGGCATGTTTGTAAATAGTAAGCTAAATTGGGGAATGGTCTCCAACCTCTTAGGCCACGTCCAGATGAGCGTGGCTGTGTGGTATGTGGCACTGCAAACGTGTCTGTGGCGCCACATACCACACATTTAGATGTTTTCCACACTGCAAGGGCCTCCCCTCCCCCACCCAAGGTAACTTGCCACATGTCAAAGCACATGTGGCACGGGTGTTCCCCAGAGACAAGTAGCAGTGGTACAAGGTGCATCGCCCTTACTTATCCTTGGGGAACCAAACGTCCACACTCATGTGGACATGTCCTTAGAGTCAAGTTAACTGGTGACTATTTCTAAACATGACACTGACATTGACCTAATCTTCATGCTGTTTGTTATACTATACTATTTAGATCTTCTCTGTTTTAACAGGGGGCTGGAACTGATGAGTTCACTCTGAACAGAATCATGGTTTCCAGATCAGAAATTGATCTTCTGGATATTCGGGCTGAATACAAGAAACACTACGGATGCTCCTTGTACTCTGCTATTAAAGTGAGAATTATTTTAATGAAATATTCTTGTATATTGTAAATGAATCATGTCATATATGCCAGCTCAGGCAATTATCTTTCAGTGTTTTCTCTTATATTTAAGGCATGCACAGATAATTTTGTTTGGACATTGAGAGTATGATATTAAATGAGAATAAGCCAGAGGTGTCTGGGAAGAGCAGTACAGCTTTAGCACCTGTGCTCTGGGACAAAAAGAAGAGAGTAAAATAGTGCCTAGAGAATTTGGAGAATATTTATAATAATAGCAGTGAACTGGAAATAAACAAGGATGTTGGCTGTCAGATCAGATATTTGGTGCATTGTGTATGAAGAAGAGCCAAGGAATGATGATGATGATCCAGCTATATGAGGAGGTAGAGTCCAAAATGATCTCTAAAGGATCCAGAGTGATCCTTTTGGTGACATCCTGTTGGGGGTGCAAAGAGGACAGAAAGGAAGTGATTGATCTCAAGAGGAAAAATGAGCAATTTCAGGGCTCTCTAGGAAGGGTCGGACAATAAGCAACAGATATTTGGAGACTTGTGAACCACTAGTTTAGTTCACTGATTCTTAATGACTGCATAAGGCCACGCAGAAGCTTTGTACTGAAGAAAAGATGAAGTAACTAATGATAGCTCTGTGGGAAAATAGACATGGTGTAGTATTCAGAGGTGTGCCAGCGTGGTGCAATGGGGGAGCATCCATGTGGCCTAGGGGGCTCTTGGCTCACCCTCTGCTTGGAGGATACCTGCAACAAAGGATGTGCCTTGCTTTTCTGTCAAGTTATCTTATACTTAGAGCTTTAGTAATAATATAAGTTTGTTTTAAAGCTAAATTTGAAATTGCCAAAAGGGAGGTTAGGGAATTGTTTCCTGAACTCATACTCTCTCTAACACTTCTCTTCCCAGAACTGACATATCCCAGGGAAGAATTATGCTCTAGTTTGCTACTAAGTTAATTGGTTTAAAATTGTTAAGCCCAGACAAAGGTTTGGAATCATTATCTGCTATAGGAGATGGGAAAGCTGTGAAAATCAGAGGTTATAAAGAATATTTAAGTGTCTTTTTTAGAAATCATTACTCATTTTGAACAATGATGAACACCATAATTTAATTAAAAGAAAAGTCTGAAGTTCTTTTAGCCCTGTGGTACTGATTAGCTTCCTTCTCTTTTTCCTATGATTTACTAAATCAAGTTTTTTTCTCTTGTTTATGGTGAGACAGTACCAGCTTAATGGAAGTTGAAGAGTTTCTTCTTCAGCTCACAGAAATATCACCTGGGTAGCCCTACCAAGTGTTTACTGGTTCAGTTCTCTAAGTAGAATAGTTGCCAGTACTCAGTAAAATGTTCAAAAATACCTAAATTTAGGGAATAATCAGCAAACGTGTACTTTTAAATGGCATGAAAACATTCTTTTGAGTAATCATTTTTCTATCAGTTTCTCTTATAAATAACAATACCCATTACTACAGAGGTGGAATGATAGAAATGTGATGAGGCCACCTCCATTATGCAGATATGAGTTGCAGTTGGACTTACTATCCACATGATTTTCATTCAGTTAGTTGTAATCTAGATAGGATTTTATAGATGTTTTTGTGAAGAAAACTCTTTCCAACACTTAATTTAAAAATGATGGGTGTTGGACCTCAGAGAAAAAGTAGGGCTGGAGGAAATTTGAGAAATCGTCTTGTCCAGCTCCCTGCTCAAAGCAGGATCATCCTTATCTAAACCATCCTAGACAAGTGTTTGTCTAGCTCAGGCGTGGGTCAAAATGGCCAATCCAACTGGACTCCCATTTCCCAGCAGCCCCTGCCCACATGGCCCAGCAGCAGCTGCCCTGTGATAGCGCAAGGTTGGGGTTGCCCTGGAGGCCAGCCCCAGCCACACTGGCAAGGTGTGTGGCAGGGCAAGGGGCTGCTCTGGAGCCACCGGGATCTTGCAGCAGGGGCAGCTTGCTCGGGGCCAGGGCACAGGTGCGATCTGCAGCCTGCGTGCTCCAGGCAGGGGCGTACAGGCAGCAAATTGTGGCTCTGATCCAGCTTGCGACCATCGCTGCTGCAAGGAGCTGGGGCAGAGCTGTGATCCACTGCCTGCACATCCCTGCCTGGAGCGTGCAGGCTACAGATCACAGCTCTGCCCTGGCCCTGACCAAGCTGCCCCTGCCACAACATCCCAGAAGCTCTGGAGCATCCATCCCCCTGCCCTGCCCTGCCACATGCCCTGCCAATGCAACTGGGGCTGGTCTCCATGGCAACCCCAGCCTTGCACTATCTCAGCACAGCTGCAGCTGGGGTCTCCATGGAGCCTGATGCAGGCAGGGGCTGCTGGGAAATGGAGTCCATTGCCCGCCAGATCCAGCCCACAGGCCAGACTTTGCCCACCCCCGGTCTCACCTAGTCCTAAAAACTTGATGAACAGCCATCTCACACAGCTACTAGACAGAATGTCCAGAACATCAAAGACATCCCAACTTGCCATGGGTAAAACAGTGGGGGGAATGAGGGCACTATCAGTTCCTTGTGACTGCAAAGACAGGAAGTAATTTAAATATACTCAAGAAATCCAAAGAAGGGGACTATGCCTCCCTCCTACAGGAAGGCAAAACTGGAAAAGAAATAGGAAAAAATAGTAGATTTGGGGTCAGACTTAACTGATGTGTCCTAACAAAGTCTTACCCTTCTCTTAGCGTGGCAGGGAGAAGGATGGAGCCACAGGCAGCTCATCCAGGGGATCAGCGTCCCAGTGCTTAAAAATGGCAGCGGAGGTGCTTGAACTAAAGTATGGCAAATGAGCTTTAGTTCAAGCACTGCTGGCACCATTTTTAAGAGCAGGGACACTTTTAACTGGAGCGGATCTGGGAGGGGTGAGGATGGATGCAGGCTATTTGCTATGGGCTTGGGACTCTTTGCTCTGCTGCCTTTGCCCTGGGAGCCCTGTTTCGGCTGCACATTCCCTGCCCACCCGGCAGCAAGAGGGACAACTCACTGCCTCCACTGCTGCCGGGTGGGCAGGAGACATGCAGCTGATACAGAGCCCCTGGGGCAGAGGCAGCAGAGCAGAGCCCTGAGCTTACAGTGGGCAGTCTGCATCTGCCCTGTGTACAAATCAGGGGAGAGAGGGAGTGCATGCAAGTGGTAGAGAGCTGCCCCCCCACGCCCCCATACTCCCTGGACAAGCCATCCACAGCTCTGTCCTACTCCCATCCCCAGGTCCCATTCACTGCCCTGGCTGAGCAGTATCCCCAGTCCCAGCCCCTGCCCCACTCCCTCCCTCACTGTAGGGACCTTGGTCTGACCTCCCCTTGCCCCCCATGGCCCTTCGCCTCCATAGACTTACCTTCAGGGCACTGCTCTCCACGCTGCCCTGCTGCATTCCTGGCCACGTGCATGTGTGTGGCTGAGCACATGCACATGGCATCCAGGGGCTCCACCCAGAAGGCATATTATTTATTGGTGACATTGTCGGCTACATGGGCCAAAAAAAGCTGATGGACAATAATGCTAATTTTCCTTTTATCAGTGCTGATGATCTGATATGGCACCAATATATCAGTGCACCTCCAGTAAAACTAGTAATAAGTCTGATATGTTTTATTTCTTTAAATCACTATTTTTATCCACATGGACTTAGTGCTTTCTTAGAGTAGTAATGGATAGAAACTTCTGCACAAGCAAATGAGAGTTTAGTTATAGATGTCAATAAGAGCAAGTGTTTTATTTCTATCTAACAAACTATTGTGTTGACCCAAAAAGACTAGGATAAATCACTTTCACTATAACAAACAATGAAACAATCTCCACTAATGTCACTTATTTTTTCTCTATGCAGTCTGATACCTCTGGAGATTATGAGACCACACTGCTGAAGATTTGTGGAGGAGATGACTGAAAGTAAATTCACAATGAGCACTGTGCCATTACATTTTTGCTAACTACTGTAATTCTTTTTATAAAGCTTTTAAATGTGTAAGCGAGTGTAAAATTGCAACACGTGTTGACTGCTTCCTCATTAAGCATCATAATAAACAGATGCTTATTTTAACCTATCTCTTTAGGCAGTTGTTGATAGTTATCTTACATGCTATGATCTGGATAAACTGTGCTTAAAAAATTATTGGAAGCCAAAGCAGACAGAGTGCTTTTGCCTGCAAGGTAGACGCCTGTTTGGAAATAGTTACAGTCTCTTTGCAGCTGTGCGGCATTAAGAAAATGTGATACCACTTGAGTAGAGAAGAGAATAAAACTCAATGCAAGATCAGGTTAGTAATTAACTTTTACAAAGGCTGTATTTAGCCACTGGCACTCCCAGACTGATTATGTAAACACTGGATTGTTTTCAAATAAACCAAAATTATTCCAAAATATGCTCTTTACTCTGGCATTCCATTTGTTAACTCCAATCATGAACCAGCACCCGTTTGAGCTAGGAATTATTATTACTGTTCTTGTTATACTGACAAATAAGGCCTCTGAAATGGACAGAAACCTTGGGAGCAAGTTGTATGTTTTTACTTTGTCATTAGCGACTCCTGGCACAGCAAAAGCATGACCCTTGCCCTGGGACATATACAACACGAAGCAAAAGCAGGCTACCGTAAGAAGAGAGACACTGATGGCAGTGTACCACTCAATATAACTTCAAAACTGTATGGCTCCAGAACTGTTAGGGAATGCAGTTTACCTTGATGCCACTGCTGTTGGAGCACAGAGAATTTCGTTAAAAGGGGAGCTGATAAAGCAAGTGAATTGGATTGACAGAATATTGTGGTTTTGGTACTCAAGCATCTGCTAAATTGCCACTGCAATCTTGTACGATCTGCAGTTCATGGATGGTGGCTTGTTTAGGTTCCTGTTGTATCTGTGAAGTTTCTACTCCCACAACATTTCTGCAGAAGATACTGTTTTGGAGAAGTCCTCTATGATTCAGGATTGATATGCCACACTGAAATCTCTTTAACTGATTTTAAAATTTAGAGCCAGAACCTTTTCCAGCTATTGGATGCCTAAGACAATTTAGGTGCCTGAATGTGGTCCTATTGCACCATACTTGAGTGCCTACTTTTGTGACATGCAATTATTTAACACTAAGACCAAGTCACAAAAAGAAATAAACAAGAAGGTGCCCATCCATTGCATTGGCTGTTTTTCAGGGGCTTGAACAAGGTGGAATAGGATCACACTTAAGCACCTAATAAGTGGGATAGGTTTGCTACTAAGCCAATTATTCTCTCATACAGGCAAGGAGGAGAGCATGAAGCATCTCAGATGAAACAGTCTCCCCTGGGAAGCTTCTAGTTCTAGCAGACTGTGAAAGAATTTACCTCAAGCCTTTCCTGTCATGGGAAGGGGGAATCAGCATAATTGCTCACTGCTGGCAACAGAAATACACCTACGCTTCCCCTTCCCTTCACATTGTCTCTATTGCCTTCCTTGGTTTCATGTCTCTCCAGTTCCTTCAATAGGAGCTGAAACAGTTGCAAAGCTTGGAGCAAATTACATAAGTTTAGCATTTTCAGATGATATATTACCATTGTAAAGATGCTGTCCTGGACAGTTCCAGTATCCTGGTGTAATATTGGTACAAGAGGAGAAGCAGAAGTCTGTCTTCCCTTTTCATGGTGTCAGGGACTGCAGGGAGATACCAAATCTCCCATGGGGGATCTGCTGATCCCAATCAGTCTTGCCATCAGGGTACAAAGATAATACAGTAACACTGGTGAAAGGAATAAGAGTCAAATTATCATTTGACTTAGTTCATAGAGACTCAAATAGGTGTATAGGTACCGTGATCAGGAAGGCAAAGAAACAGGCTGAGGTACGGCCCTCTAATGAAAATTGTTTGACTATCACATGGAAGAAATAAAGCATTCAAGATTAACTTTGAGGATGCAGAGCAGGAGGAGAAAAATGGACTAGGAGGAACAACACTTGCGATCTTTCAAATCATTGATGGGTCCAGGCTCCGTTGGACTTGCATTTATCTGTTGAGATAGGTAGCTGCTAAGCAGAACTGGTATACATCCATGACCATGTGAGTGGGCACGTCTGCATGTGCATTAATGTGCCGTGGTTACAGAGCATCAAGTTTAGTAATAACAGATACTAACTAAATGCTCAGTAACTAGCGCTACTTTGCAGTAGTGCCATGAAATGCCCTCTAAGTGATGCTAAGGCACAGTAGATTAATTCTACTGTGCATTAGCACAATAGCACGTTTTTTGCTGTGGTGTGTTAATGCCCAGTAGAATTAGTCTACTGCGCATTTAGCTTCTTGGTTAGATGCTCCCAGTGAGTCATAAAGCCTGTACCCATGAGATCCAAACATTTGTCCCTCTTAAAAAAATCTGCCTGAAAAACAAAAATGGTCTAATCTAGTGTTTTTTAACCGAACACTTCTTCCATATAAGGAAATTCTGCCAATTTGAGCAAGTTTCCCTATTGTGTAAAATGAGGTACTGCAGGAACTGATAACTTCTCTCAAAACTAAAAGAAACCAGATTGCATTTTCCACTTCCCTAATCCTTATTTTGAAGAATGAGAGCTTATCCCCACAGGGAAGTCAGTGTGCTAGTGTTTCACTGTACAGCATGCTAGCTACTTTACACTAATGTCCTGCACTGACACTCAGGGTTGAGCAAGCACGAGCTGCTGATGATTCAGTGCCAAGTGTCGACATGTGGAGTTAGTGTAGTGTATCCAGTGAGCTCTTAACTCGCACCCTCATTTTTGCAGTATTTCCCTGTACAGACAAGCCCTGATCCTATGAACAAGAGAAGATGATTCAGCCCTGTCAATGCTACTGTTATGATAATGATTTATATTATAGTAGTGCCCAAGAGCTACAGTTGAGATAAAGGTCTTCTCATTCAAAGTGCAGTAAGTTACCCATAAAAGTGTTTACATGGGGGAAGTTATTGTAGAGTAGAAAGTGCACTAAAATTCATTCTCCTTCTTCCTGTGCAGTAACTTCCCAGTGTAGGCAGGTCCTAAAACTTACTGGTAAAGTTGAATGCTTTGTGGCTGTGTGGATTCTGGTGTTTCCATTCACTGGTGGCTTACGTAGTGAAGTTTTATGCAATGTCCACAAGGTGGCAGGAGTAATTAAGAGGCAACCCATT